CTCTAAATCTCTCTCTCTCTCTCTCTCTAATATCTCTCTCTCTCTCTCTCTCTCAATCTCTCTCTCTCTCTCTCTCTCAATCTCTCTCTCTCAATCTCTCTCTCTCTCTCTTCTCTCTCTCTCTCTCTCTCTCTCAATCTCTCTCTCTCTCTCAATCTCTCTCTCTCTCTCTCTCTCTCAATCTCTCTCTCTCTCTCTCTCAATCTCTCTCTCTCTCTCTCTCTCAATCTCTCTCTCTCTCTCTCTCTCAATCTCTCTCTCTCTCTCTCTCAATCTCTCTCTCTCTCTCTCTCTCAAACTCTCTCTCTCTCTCTCTCTCCTACTCTCAAACTCTCTCTCTCTCTCTCCTCTCAAACTCTCTCTCTCTCTCTCTCTCAATCTCTCTCTCTCTCTCTCTCTCAATCTCTCTCTCTCTCTCAATCTCTCTCTCTCTCTCTCTCTCAATCTCTCTCTCTCTCTCTCTCTCAATCTCTCTCCTCTCTCTCTCTCAATCTCTCTCTCTCTCTCTCTCTCTCTCTCTCTCTCTCTCTCTCTCTCAATCTCTCTCTCTCTCTCTCTCAATCTCTCTCTCTCTCTCTCTCTCAATCTCTCTCTCTCTCTCTCTCTCAATCTCTCTCTCTCTCTCTCTCTCTCAATCTCTCTCTCTCTCTCTCTCAATCTCTCTCTCTCTCTCAACTTCGGTCTGCCTGGCCCTCTGCGGTTCTACAGAGGCGGGCTCCGATGGTATTCATTGTGAGATGCTTCGCCATCTCCCTCCTTGGGTTCCTCGTGATAAGTTAAAATTTAGTGTCATCACTAGGGATGTCGCTATTGTTATTCATGTATTCTTGGGTACGAATCAACACAACACAAATCAACACAAAACATCAGCATATGTGTTGATTCCTACCTAAGAATACATGAATAAAATTAGCGACATCCTCGGTGATAACACTAAATTTCATCGAATCATAAGGAACCCTTTGGATGACTTTAAACGCAAAGTGAATAAAACTATTACTGCAATGAACGCAAAGAAAAGTAGTGTTAATTTCACTAAACTCTAGGGCCACTATGGCTTAGGATATGCTTATGGCAATGTTAAGACACACAAACCAGGTAACCCACTACTTCCAATAATCAGCCAAATACCAACTCCAACCTATCACCTGGCAAAAAGACATAACAAACTCCATACACCCCAAGCAACTATAGTCTACAATCATCAGCAGATTTCCTGAAATTAATCAAAACTACACATCCTGACGGAATCGTTGCTTCCCTGGACGTCGAATCCCTATTTACCAACGTCCTAGTCGACACCACCAAAGAAATGATACTGGACAGAGTATACAGAGACGAGAGCACCCCTAAATTAAACATACCCGAGCCACACTTGAAGAGCCTTCTCGAGGAATGTACTAAGGAAGCTCCATTCATCAGTCTGCAAAGGGACATGTATCTTCAAATAGATGGAGTAGCAATGGGCTCCCCCTAAGTGTTGTTCCCTATTTTTTTACATAGGAACCCTCGAGGATAGTCTTCAGTAGTAGACAAAAACCAACTGTTCGTCATATTAAAAGACTCAGATGAATTATTTGATCTAAAATGCAATCAAGAGAGAGTGAGTCAGTACTCAGGTTCCAATATACCATGAATACCCATATTATGGAACTATTTACTCTACCCACCATGAGAGTAAGAACAAGACCGGAACATAACGATGCCAACACAGAAGACACTGCTCAACATAATAGGCCTATTACACCTGATTAATCATTGTATGTACTTCGTCCCTTATTTATTCACATTGCCTTTTCCTCTATTGTACTTGTTTTTTCACCTGACCCTGTACTGGTATAAATCTGACGAGATCTGTAATTTCTTTTCACTTGAGAATGAACCATAGAGGTTCGAAACGTTGTGCAAATTGTATAAATAAGTGTAATACATACTGTAGTAATTCTCTTTTTTCTTCACCTTAAAATAACGAAAATGAGTTTGAGAACTTGGCCATATATATAGCTAAAATAAACATTCAAGAGTTATTTTCAAAACTTCTGAAGTGAATAAGACCTTAACCCCTCACCGAGAAGACCCGTGAGGCAATCACTGACTTCTTTCCATTATGTCATCGTCATAAACATGAGAAGAAGGTGGCAGACCAGGATGGAAGCCAACTGTCCCGGACCGAAAACACACGCACTTACTAAGCCAGTACTTCTTTCCTCGTACATAGCGACTGTATCTGTATTCCACCAAACAGTTTACGGCTCTCTCAGCCTCGCAGCCCCGAGGTTGTTATTCTCGCAGACAACATTGTAACACTTTTGGATCTCATAAACTGCTTAATATATGTAAACTAAGCTACCATGATTGAAGAGATGTTCATGCTAAGTAACAGTGCACGTAATTACTCTAATCCTGGCCGCGGCATATTGACGAAGGGAAGGTCAAAGTTGTCATTTAAAGGAGTGAAATATTCTTGGGTGTCCCTTGAGAAGCGCACTCCTCAAGCTCCACCGACGCCTCAAACAAACAAAAACACACAACACACACACACACACACACACACACACACACACACACACACACACACACACACACACACACACACACACACACACACACACACACACACACACTGGCGAGACGTTACGAGTGGAGTCCCGCAGGGGTCAGTCCTTGAACCTATACTGTTTCTGATATATGTAAATGATCTCCCAGAGGGTATAGAATCGTTTCTCTCAATGTTTGCCGATGATGCAAAAATTATGAGGACGATAGTAGGAGGCTACAAGTTGACCTAGACAGACTGAGTGAATGGTCCAACAAATGGTTGTTGAAGTTCAACCCGAGTAAATGCAAAGTAATGAAACTAGGCAGTGGAAACAGGAGGCCAGACACAGATAACAGAATAGGAGATGAAGTACTTAATGAAACGGAGAGAGAGAGAAAGATCTAGGAGTTGATTTCACACGAAACCTGTCTCCTGAAGCCCACATAAAAAGAATACCGTCTGCGGCATATGCGAGGCTGGCTAACATCAGAACAGCATTCAGAAACCTGTGTAAGGAATCATTCAGAATTTTGTATACCACATATGTAAGACCAATTCTGGAGTATGCGGCCCCAGCATGGAGCCCGTACCTTGTCGAGCACAAGACTAAGCTGGAAAAAGTCCAAAGGTATGCCACTAGACTAGTCCCAGAACTAAGAGGCATGAATTACGAGGAAAGGCTGTGGGAAATACACCTTACGACACTGGAAGACAGAAGAGAAAAGGGATCACAACCTACAAAATCCTCAGAGGAATCGACCTGGTAAACAAGGATACACTATTCAACACTGGTGGGACGCGAACAAGGGGACATAGGTGGAAACTGAGTACCCACATGAGCCACAGAGACGTTAGAAAAAACTTTTTCAGTGTCATAGTTAACGGATGGAATGCATTAGGCAGTGATGTGGTGGAGGCTGACTCCATACACAGTTTCCAATGTAGATATGATCGAGCCCAGTAGGCTCAGGAATCTGTACGTCAGTTTGACAGTTGAGAGGCGGGACCAAAGAGCCAAAGCTCAACCCCCGCAAGCACAAATAGGTGAGTACACACACACTCACTTCACTGATAGAAAAATGAAGGCAGTAATCAGAGACAATGTATCGGACTGGAGAAATGTCAAAAGTGGGGTACCACAGGGTTCAGTTCTTGCACTTGTGATGTTTGTCTACATAAATGATCTACCAGTTGGTATACCAAATTATATGAACATGTTTGCTGATGATGCTAAGATAATGGGAAGGATAAGAAACTTAGATGATTGTCATGCCCTTCAAGATGACCTGGACAAAATAAGTATATGGAGCACCACATGGTAAATTGAATTTAATGTTAATAAATGCCATGTTATGGAATGTGGAATAGGTGACCATAGACCCCACGCAACCTATATAATATGTGAGAAATCTTTAAAGAATTCTAATAAAGAAAGAGATCTAGGGGTGGTTCTAGATAGAAAACTATCACCTGAGGACCACATAAAGAACGTTGTGTGAGGAGCCTATGCCACGCTTTCTAACTTCAGAATTGCTTTTAAATACATGGATGGCGATATACTAAAGAAATTGTTCACGACTTTTGTTAGGCCAAAGCTAGAATATGCAGCGGTTGTGTGGTGCCCATATCTTAAGAAGCACATCAACAAACTGGAAAAGGTGCAAAAACACGCTACTAAGTGGCTCCCAGAACTGAAGGGCAAGAGCTACGAGGAGAGGTTAGAGGCATTATATATGCCAAAACTAGAAGACAGAAGAAAAAGGTGATATGATCACTACGTACAAAATAGTAACAGGAATTGATATAATCGATAGGGAAGATTTCCTGAAACCTGGAACTTTAAGAACAAGAGGTCATAGATTTAAACTAGCTAAACACAGATGCCGAAGAAATATAAAAAAAATCACTTTCGCAAACAGAGTGGTAGACGGTTGGAACAAGTTAGGTGAGAAGGTGATGGAGGCCAAGACCATCAGTAGTTTCAAAGCGTTATATGACAAACAGTGCTGGGAAGACGGGACACCACGAGCGTAGCTCTCATCCTGTAATTACACTTAGGTAATTACACGCTCACTCTGCCACATCGATGGAAGTGGAAGAGTAAGTATTGTGGAAAAGGCTGCTTGTGTGGGTGAGTGTTGGATGGGGGTGGAGTACCGGGCGATTGGGAAGGCAGGTATGGTCGCCTTCCCAATCCCAAGATATTCCTGGAGGAATATCACTCGTGCAGATGATCTGACCTGATCACAATTCACAAGTGTCTCGTCTCACGGTCGGCGTACGCTTTTAATGTTGGTCCCAGTTGGCGCCTTGTGTTGAAGAGTGAGCTCCTTTGCGAGCGTGTGCGTGCGTGCGTGCGTGCAAGACAAGTCATCAACACAAGAACCATCGTTGGTATTCATTAAACAGTAAATCCGATAAAAGACTTACATCTGTTGATTTGTAATATGGTTATCTTTACCGTTATCACGGCCGCTGACACGGCCGCTGACGCCACCGGTGACGCCACTGCTGACACGGCCGCTGACGCCACTGCTGACACGGCCGCTGACGCCACTGCTGACACGGCCGCTGACGCCACTGCTGACACGGCCGCTGACGCCATCGCTGACACGGCCGCTGACGCCATCGCTGACACGGCCGCTGACGCCATCGCTGACACGGCCGCTGACGCCATCGCTGACACGGCCGCTGACGCCATCGCTGACACGGCCGCTGACACGGCCATCGCCGCTGACACGGCCGCTGCTGACACGGCCGCTGACGCCATCGCTGACACGGCCGCTGACGCCACTGTTGACACGGCCGCTGACGCCATCGCTAACACGTCAGCTAGCAGAACTGTGGAATAATATAACATTAAGCCGTCCCGGCTGCGACAAGGCCCACCATACCCCTCACCTCCTGCAAGCCAATATATCTATTCTCATGCAATATAAAACAGCGATGCACAATACAAGTCACAACAACATGATCAAACAACGTAAAAAATAATTACGCGACGAAATTGCACCAACGTCCTCCTCCCCTGAAACGTGACACAGATACAGTAATGTACCCGCACACATCACTGTACCCACCTTTTACTGCAATGACCCTTTTAACCGAAGGGGGTCAAAGGTTATATTGCAATAGAGCTTCAGACACGCTCTATTGACACGGGTCTGAGCCTCTACGACGCTGTTTGTCCCTGTGAGAAAGTCTTAATAGTTGAGGTGCAAATCTTGACGCGATTCCTTAACTGTTTAGAAATGAAATGATACATTGTGGTGGATGGAAAGATCTTTGAAGACCGCGGCCTAGCTATAGGGTGCAGGTGTTAGGAGGGGGGTGAAGGGGTAATGTAGGAGGGAGTGGGAGGTAGGCGTGTGTGTGTACTCACCTATTTGTGCTTGCGGGGGTTGAGGTCTGTTAGAAATAACCAACATTTAACCCTCATTTATTTGTTAACAATAGCGTTTACTAACGTTACTAATTCGTAGAAATAGCCAAATTAATGTTTATCAATTGTAACGTAATTTTAGACAAATCCTTGTTAGTTTCCAGGGCGCTGTGAAGTTGTCAGGCTGGAACATGAAATATTCCACGTATTATTGGAAGTCTACCGAGTCCAGTTATTTGCTTTCCCTTTCTAAAGATAATCTCCTATGAAAGAGTTTACTTATTTAGTGTATTACTGCTTACTGAACTCTCTCATGTAATCAGATTGATTACTCCTGTAGATATTATTGCCATGTAAAATAAATCTACACTAAACCCTTGTCGTTTATTTCGCGCAGTCTTAATTAAACAAATTGCCTTACGAGAAATAGGATTATGATATAGCATATGTCTATGACATTCATATTTGTCATAACTCCTTACTTCCCTAATTAATTACGAGTAAGTAAATAACTTTACGCTCGGGATTCCTATGGAGGGTACTGCGCGTGCGTATCCCGGCGAGGGAGAAGAAGAAGAAGAAGAAGAAGAAGAAGAAGAGAGACGCCATTAACAGCGTGTTCAAAAGCGTCAGCCACACTGATAAGAAGTTGTGTTTAGGAGCGCGTAATACCGGCCCATAATTCGACATTCTGCAGCAGCAGGTGTCCGGGATCGAGAGTGACTCCCACAACTACTAGACACCTTTCCGGCGAGCCTAATGTAGCAAGATTCCAGCTAATGTTATATTTGTGCACATTTATTCAACGGGTAAGTTGCTCGTCGTTACAAGATAGACAAGAAAATAACTCAAGTTAGTCTCCATTTCGCTCATCTAGCTCTGTTTAGAGCTACATTTTCCCACAAGCTCTGGCTCTTTGGTCCCTCCTCTCAACTGTCAATCAACTGGTTTACAGATTCCTGAGCCTACTGGGATCTGTCATATCTACATTTGAAACTGTGTATGGAGTCAGCCTCCACCACATCACTGCCTAATGCATTCCATGTTAACTACTCTGACACTGAGAAAGTTCTTTCTAACGTCCCTGTGGCTGATTTGGGTACTCGGTTTCCACCTGTGTCCCCTTGTTGGCGTACTACCAGTGTTAAACAGTTTATCCTTATTGTCAGGAGACAGATTTTTCTTGCTCTCTCGTGCACTGGATGAGGTATGAAATTGCATAGTGCACCAGTGATGTGCACGGTGACTCGACTTTATGAATTTAACTTTTCCACAGTCGTGTTGGGTGTCGTTAGACAGCCTGTGACATTTGCTAGCCATTGATGTCATTCTGATCGCTGTATCAGGTTTGTGAAGAAAATTACAGGAGGGAGTTGATTTCGTGGAAATTTTTGTGCAAGTGTAGAGAGGTAGGTTTGGGGGGTTAATGGCTGTAGACTAACTTCCCCATCACGTGTCCACCTCGTGAGAGAAGGGGCAGCGTCGTGAGGCAGGTACGCCGTTGGCCAAGGCGCTTGGGCCTCAGGAATGCTGAACCGTGATTGGTCAAAATGCCGAGGGGTACCGCATGGTATCCCTAAGCCATCTTGGCGCCCAAATAATTATTCTTACCAAGAACGTTGCTAGAGCAGGACGTACTTTCTCGTGCTAAGGCCAAGCATCGAGAAATACCAACTGCAACGTTACTAAAGTCATGTTCATCGTCTTGCTATCTTTCCGGGTGGCGTCAGTAAGAATCCGGTATCGCAAAAAGGTGTTTCCAATGATTTAGCAGTGTGAACTTTGTCATCTGAGCCGCGTGATCGTGAAACGCCTTCTCAGAGCAACTGGACTGAGTGAGGCTGTTATCGTCATGTGTTAGTGACATCCGCCGTCTGTCGTATCTTAGCTTGAAGGTACCGCAGTGAGACGAGCTAGAGAAGGTTTCAGTGTTATGAGAGAAACCTTAAATTCATAATTCCGAGGAATTAGCAGTGAGCAGTGAAGGACTCTGTCTCGTGTACCGTCGTGCTGTGTAACACCGTGTACCGTCGTATCCTAGGGTACCGTGTCAAGTGGATGGGCATGGTACCGCATTCCAGTTGTCTGTGTGATCTGTTGTGCGTACACCCCTGGCTGCATGAATCCGGCGTGTCTGCGCCACCTGGTCTCTGTGTGGAGCTATCCCCGTGGTCTAGGACCCCGTGCTCCAGCCGACCACGTGTACGAAGTGAGGACGCCTACTTCATCATCCAGCAGCAGCAGCAGCAGCGGGAGTGAGGTTGCCGTGTGTGTGTGTGTGTGTGTGTGTGTGTATGGCGCGCCCGCGAGATTGATGTAAGTACACTGTTTCCGTTTTGGGTAATAAAACTCTGAAGCAGGTTTTGCACCCAGTGTTCTGTCTGTCCTCTGTCCCTGTCGACCACCTAGTGAGGTGAATGTGAATTGGAAACGTGGGAGTTTACCCTGTTTGACGTCATCAAGTTGAGGTGGAGCCCAACTGTGAGGTTGACGTTAGACACATTCAGCGGTGGAGCAAAGTGTTCTTTGTTTCCATTTTTCTCTATGTGCCGTGTATGTAATTCGCTGTAATTTGATTCCTTTTTTCAGCAGTGAAAGTGGTAACAGGGAGGTTTCCCTTGGTTATAAATAATTCTATTATTATATTGGCCAGCGCTTATTTTACTGTTGTGTTGTGGTAAAGTTGTGAATTATTGGTAGATAATTTACTGGAGAAGTCATTTATAAGTTTTGCCGTGAGTGGCAAGACTGTACTGTGATGTACTGTGTTGTACCGTGTGTAAACTGTAGACAAGTTGTGTCCTTGGTGGAATGCGTTGTGTACTGTGAAGGATTCCGTGAGAATTAGTCATTTAACGTCACCGGGGGGTCACGATTTACTTAACGAGGTCATTGTTGTTTTGTTGAACATTGTTGTGATTAACGTAGAGACGTGTAAAGGCAACAGTCACAGTGAAGTTCACGCAGTGGAGGAATTGTCAAGTGAAGACTAACGTAGTGTTAACGATTTAACGAGCTGTCGTTAATTGATGGATTAACGTAAGGAGTTGACCGGTCTGTTATGATCGGAGTCAATTGCGCTGTAATTAGGCTGCTGTAATTCGTTGGACTGATCAAATCTGTCTGCGGGCAGAGGGATTAAACACTCGTAGCTAATTAAGGAGAATTAGTACCCGCTACTTAGTGAATTCACAAGGTGTTGATGTTGTTTACATGGAGTGTCTTGTAGCCTTGTGTGTGGTACAGTAGTCTACCCTCGTTAAGGTAATCTTGTTGTAAGACCGGAAATGAACTGTCAGTTGAGAGACAGTAGGCTTTATCAATACTCGTCTGAATTAATAGGCTGTTGTATTCAGTAATTGGGAATTACTCACCGAATGTTTGTCTTTCAAGTTGATGTATTTATTTGATTTACGAGTTATTGCTGCCATTTAAGTGTCGTTGAGACACGTGTGTGTTAACGTAAGATTTTTATAAGGGTTATCATTCTTTGATTAACCGCCTTGTTACTTGGTACCTCGTTGAGAGCAGCGAGCGCCAGTCAAGTTTTTGTGAAGCCGTGACAATATTGATTGCAAGCTTGCGTCACAAGTGGGCACCACTTTGTTTAGTTAGTGTTATTAGTGAGTCGGCGACGACGGGATAAGGATACCGTGGGTCCATCAGGCTGTTTTATAGCTGTTCTTTACTGCGCCACTGGAGTGACAGTAAAGTAACATAAACTCTGTAATAGTAGTTCTAGTTTTTTTGTAAATAAATTATATTATAGAAAATGGTCGTTTACGTCAGACCTTCTAATATTATTTCATGTTCACACATTTCATGTTCTGTAACGTTTTGCCTGCTTATGTTCATATCAAGTCTGTATGTAAAGCTCGAGTCCATTGCACAGCACCACACTTCTATAAATAAGAGGTGAGAATCCGTCGGCTACCCTTCATTAGTTGTCAACTAGGAGGAGCCAGCGACCTAAGTGACAGGTGTTACCCGAGTGGTTTCGCCTGGCGGTTTGCTCCCGCGGTCCTATGATCTTAGGCTTTAAGATTAAATATCTGCCACTGGCAGCTCTTGCTGTTTAAGGTCTGCCTCTCTTGCGAGGTAGTTACGATTAACATAACATCAATAGGAATTAATTATTTTGATAATTGTCAAGGAAAAAAAAATCTCACTTATCAATCCTGTCAATTCCTCTGAGAATTTCATAGGTGGTGATCATGTCTCCCCTTACTCTTCTGTCTCCCAGTGTCGTGAGGTGCATTTCAAGCAGCCTTTCCTCGTAACTCATGCCTCTTAGTTCTGGGACTAGACTTGTGGCATACCTTTGAACTTTTTCCAGCTTCGTCTTGTGCTTGACAAGATACAGGCTCCATGCTGGGGCTGCATACTCCAGGATTGGTCTTATATATGTGGTATACAAGGTTCTGAATGATTCCTTACATAGGTTCCTGAAGGCTGTTCTGATGTTAGCCAGCCTAGAGTATGCCGCTGATGTAATTCTTTTTATGTGGGCTTCAAGAGACAGGTTTGGTGTGATGTCAACTCCTAGATCTTTCTCTTTGTCCGTTTCATGAAGTACTTCATCTCCTATTCGGAATCCTGTGTCTGGCCTCCTGTTTCCACCGCCTAGTTTCATTACCTTGCATTTACTTGGGTTGAATTTTAATAGCCATATGTCAGCCCACTCATTCAGTGTGTCTAGGTCATCTTGTAACCTCCTCCTATCTTCCTCTGTTTAATCCTCCTCTGTTTAATCCTCCTCATAATTTTTACATAATTTTTACATAATTTTTGCAATGAGAGGAACGATTCTATACCCTCTGGGAGATCATTCACGTATATCAGAAACTGTATAGATCCAAGGACTGAACCCTGCGGGACTCCACTGGTGACGTCTCGCCAATCTGAGACCTCACCTCTCACAGTGACTCGATGTCTTTTGTTGCTTAGGTAATCCTTTATCCAATGGAGTACCTTTCCTTTCACTCCTGCTTGCATCTCCAGCATTTTCGCTAGCCTCTTGTGTGGTACCATGTCAAAGGCATTCTGGCAATCCAAAAATATGCAGTCTGCCCACCCCTCTTTCTTGCCTGATTTTTGTTGCATGATCGTAGAATTCAGTTAATCCTGTGAGGCAGGACTTGCCATCCCTGAACCCATGTTGATGGTTTGTCACAAATTTTTTTAACTCCAGATGTTCCACTAGCTTTCATCGCACAATCTTCTCCATCAGCTTGCATGGTATGCAAGTTAGGGACACTGGCCTGTAGTTCAGTGCCTCCTGTCTATGCTCCTCCTTGTATATCGGGACAAAAATATCCGTCTTCCAAATTTTTGGCAGTTCGTGGTTACCAGGATTTGTTATACACCATGGAGATTTGCAGGAAGAGTGCTTCTGCTCCTTCCTTCAATATCCAAGGGGAGATTCCATCTGGGCCTATAGCCTTTGACACATCCAATCTAGCAACATTTTCTTTACTTCCCCGCTGGTAATATCAAACTCTTCTAGTTTGTCCTGATTAACTACTCCTTCTCTAATCTCTGGAACTTCTTCTTTTTCTAATGTGGAGACCTTGAATTTCTTTTCTAGTTCCTTGCACCTGTCATTTGCAGCGAATCTGTCTACCACTATTCCCCATTTCAATACTGTTCTTTTACTGTTGTTTTCTCCTGATGTGGGTGTGCAGCCATTTAGGCCGAGTCTTTGCCTTGCTTGCGATGTCATTTTCATATTATCTTCATTCATGGCACTCTGGTATCTTTCTCTGCTCTTAAGTGTCCTGTTATATCAATAGTTTCTCCATGCCCTTTTACTTTTCTGCTTGGCTAGCCTACATCACCGATTAAACCATGGATTTCTCATCTTCATTTCATTGTTTTCCTTTTGGACCTGGACAAACTTTTCTGTGGCTTCTTTACACTTCTGCGTTATATAGTCCATCCTATCTTGGGCCGTCTTTCCCCTGAACTCTGTTTCCCATGTTATATCTGCTAGGAATTTTCATATCCCCTCAAAGTTTCCCTTTCGGAATGCCAGCCTTTTGTTTTCAGTTCCCCTCCTCGAGCTCCTTACCCTTCTTCAACCAGATACTCAAACGCCAGTACACTGTGGTCGCTCCTTCCTACTGGGGCCTCAAAATCGATTTCCCTTATATCGGAATCGTTCAGAGTGTAGACTAGGTAGAGTCTCGCTGGTTCATCATTTCCTCTCATCCTTGTGGGTCCCTGACATGCTGGCTAAAAACGTTTCTTGTCGCCACCTCCAATAGTTTAGCCCTCCATGTATCTTCACCTCAATGCGGTTCCTTGTTCTCCCAGTCTATCCTTCTGTGAATGAAGTCCCCACAAGATGAGCAGGTTGGATCTATATCTACAGGCAGCAGAGGCTGCCCTCTCAATTATATTGTTAACTGCCATGTTGTTGTTGTCATACTCTTGCCTGGGTCTTCTGTCATTTGGTGGAGGGTTTTATATCACTGCTACTACTATTCTTGGTCCTCCTATTGTTATGGTGCCTGTTATGTACCCTCTGAATCCCTTGCATCCTGGGATAACCATCTCCCTGAAACTCCATTCCTTTCTCATTAGTAGAGCCACTCGACCTCCTCTTCTTCCTTCCCTCTCTTTCCTTATTACAGTGTAGTCCTGGGGAAACACTGCATTTGTTATGATTCCTGTGAGTTTTCTTTCTGCGAGTCCAATTACATTTGGGTTTATTTCTTGCGATTTTTCCCTTAGTTCACTGGTCTTGCTTGTAGTCCCATCTCTGTTTGAGTACATCATCCTGATGCCATCACTGACACCGCCGCTGACGCCACTGCTTACACGGCCGCTGACGCCACTGCTTGCACGGCCGCTGACGCCACTGCTTGCACGGCCGCTAACGCCACTGCTTACACGGCCGCTGACGCCACTGCTTGCACGGCCGCTGACGCCACTGCTTACACGGCCGCTGACGCCACTGCTTACATGGCCGCTGACGCCACTGCTTACACCGCCGCTGACACCACTGCTTACACGGCCGCTGATGCCACTGCTGACATGGCCGCTGACGCCACTGCTGACACGGCCGCTGACGCCACTGCTGACACCCAGCTGACGCCACTACTGACATGGCCGCTGACGCCGTCGTTGACACGGCCGCTGACGCCGCCGTTGACACGTCAGCTAGCAGAACTGTGGAATAATACAACATTAAGTCGTCAGAAGTCATCCCCGCTGTACCCACACCTCTAGCAGCTCAATATGTCTAACACCATGCAATATAAAACAGCGATGCACAATACAAGTCACAACAACATGATCAAACAACGTAAAACAAATAATTACGCGACGAAATCTCACCAACGTCCTCCACTCCTGATAACGTGGCACAGGAAGAGTAATGTACCCGCACACATCACTGTACCCACCCTTTATTGTAATGACCCTTTTAACCGAAGTGGATCAATGGTTATATTGCAACAGAGCCTCAGACACGCTCTATTGACACGGGTCTGAGGCTCTACGACGCTGTTTGTCTCTGTGAACAACGTTTCCTAAACTGTTCATAAATGTAATGATACATTGTGGTGAATGGAAAATGTTTGAAGACCGCGGTCTAGCTTTAGGGCGCAGGTGTTAGGAGGGGGGGTGAAGGGGTAATGTAGGAGGCAGTGCGGGAGTGGGAGTTAGGCAGGTGTGTGTGTGTGTGTGTGTGTGTGTGTGTGTGTGTGTGTGTGTGTGTGTGTGTACTAAAATATAATAACACCTCTTGCCAATACTAACCCGATATCTTCCTTAGTGATGCTAATCTGTACAGCCACAACATTCACACACACGAATGCAATTTAGGGAACGTCGCCAGCAAGATGATGATAATTAAAGAACACGTAGGATTACATATATGTGAGGACGGATTGCAAGCTTGCCACTGTGCACATCAACCTTACAAGAAGATATAGACCACCGGTTTACAGACCAGGCTGAGCTGGGAGATGCTCACTACACAACAAGGAGGAGGAGGAGGAGGAGAGGGAGGCTCAAGAGTCTTATCAGGGCGTGACTCACCCTAGACAAGACTAAGAGGTAAAGTCGAAACAACAAGAAAGGATATTTTTGTTTTTCTAAGGTACCGAGGCCAGCACTGGGTCCACTATCATAACTTACTAGTAGATTATACAGGAGCGAGGTTTAACTCCCTAATCACCCTTAATTAAGACGGTGGTAGACCTAACAAGAGCCCGTGTGAACCCTTCACTCACCCTACAGAGATACTTATAGACCTAACAAGAGCCAGGTAGGGTCACTCACTCACCCTAGACGGAGCTCTCCTTCTGGCTAGCAATGAGTGGCACCGTCGCCTCGTGGTTACTCGTGTAAGGATCGCGTCTCAGTGAGTGCCGCCGGACTATCGCCGTCGCAGAAGGCGTCCAGATTGGCTCCTGGGTCGCCTGTGGGTGTCCCGCGCGCGTGTGGTGCGGTTGGTGGTGGTGTGGCGTGGGCGTACTGGAGGCTGGTAGCGTGGGCTGGAACGCCGAGGACTGGTAGTGCTGCTGGGGCGCGGGGTACCGCTCTCGCTGGTCAAAAGCTGCGTACAGGACGCGCTGTGGCTGGTGGCAGTGGTGTGGCTGTGCTGCGGCAGCTCCAGGCAGGAAGAGCTCGGCGTAGTGGGCACTGCTGCCGCCCACACACGCCTGCTGGGAGGAGGAAGACACAGGGGAGATTAGAGTTTCGTTAGGCTTAAGGTATTTTCAGCGGTGCGTAGCATCAGACAACGACTCGTCTCCTCTATAATATTTACGTCAAACCAATTCACCTGATCGGATACGTTATTCTGTCCGATGCCCATGTCCCATTACCATCCCTGACCTGAGAGTGACCTCCAAAGGGCAACGATCATCATAACTGACGTGTTGAGATGAGCGTTCTCGAGCTCTCTATAACAGCCTCCGAGAGACGAGGCTAAAAGTGTAATTGACCCAAACGGCACACGACGATACAAATCTTACTGGTGACCTCAGTGATGATAACGGAATGGCTTATCCAGACCCATGCCAACGGGGCTCACACCCTCGAGTGACAACGGAATTTCGCCCTAGGAGACAATATGAGACCAACGAACGAAAATCCTCTCACTCGGCTCAAATTGAAAAAAAGTTAAGAACGATGCTTAAATAATTATTTTTAAGCTTCAAAATCGGTTACTTTCATAACAGTTCCGGATTTGTGATTGTTAACGGTAAAATATGGATTTGTTATTAAATTTCCACGGCCACTTCTGCTCACCGATGCCCTCGTGTGCAGCAGGGTGTGTACTCGCCTAGTTGTGCTTGCGAGGGTTGAGCTCTGGCTCTTTGGTCCCGCCTCTCAACTGTTAATCAACTGGTGTATAGATTCCTGAGCCTACTGGGCTCTATCATATCAACATATGAAACGGGGTATGGAGTCGGCCTCCACCACATCACTTCCTAGTGCATTCCATTTACTAACTACTGACACTTAAAAAGTTCTTTCTAATGTCTTTGTGGCTCATTTGGGCACTCAGTTTCCACCTGTCCCCCCTTGTTCGCATACCACCCGTGTTAAACAATTTATCCTTGGCTACCCTGTCAATTCCTCTAAGAATTTTGTAGGTAGTGATCATGTCTCCCCTAAATCTTGTGTCTTCTAGTGTCGTGAAGTGGATTTCACACAGCCTTTCTTCGTAACTCATGCGTCTTAGTTCTGGGACTAGCCTAGTGGCATATCTCTCATTTTTTCCAGCTTCGTCTTGTGCTTGACAAGGTACGGGGCTCCATGCTGGGGCCGCATACTCCAGGATTGGTCTTACATATGTGGTATACAAGGTTCTGAATGATTCCTTACACAGGTTTCTGAAGGCTGTTCTGATGTTAGACAGCCTCGGGTATGCCGTAGATGTAATTTATTATGTGGGCTTTAGGAGACAGGTTTGGTGTGATATCATCTAGAACTTTCTCTCTGTCCGTTTCATGAAGTAGTTCCTCTCCAATTCTGAATCCTGTCTGGCCTCCTGTTTCCCTCGCCTATTTTCCTTACTTTATATATACTTGGATTGAACTTTAGTAGCCATTTGTTGGCTCATGCATTCAGTCTGTCTAGGTCATATTGTAGCCTCATACTATCTTCCTCTGTTTTAATCCTTCTCATAATTTTTGCATCATCAGCAAACAATGAGAGGAACTATTCTATACCTTCTGGGAGATCATTTACATATATCAGAAACAGAACAGGTCCAAGGACTGACCCCTGCGGGACTCCACTTGTAACGTCTCGCCAATCTGAGACCTCACCCCTCACAGTGACTTGCTGTCTTCAGTTACTTAGGTACTCCCTTATCCAACGGTGTACCTTCCCTTTCACTTCTGCCTACATCTCCAGCATTTTCAGTGCAGTGTCAAAGGCTTTCTGGCAATCCAAAAATATGCAGTCTACCTACCAATGTCTTTCTTGCCTGATTGTGGGGAAATTCCAGGCAGCTAATCTCTCCTTTTCAAATTGACTTTAATAAAATAAAGTTATGTCTTATTTATTTTTCTTAGTAAGTAGGAATTAATTGAGTGGACTGTATATACTTGTAAACTGCCTGAAATCTTCTTACACACTATTGGGAGGGACAATTGGTAGCCTAAACCACTTTGTTATGGCTCCTTAAACTACCAATTGTTTACCTTTTATAATACAGTATACCACATATGGTGGTCTAATCTACTAGTAAATTACTAATTATGACTACTAAGATTATTAAATTTGGCTTAGCTGGGCCAGTAGTGTGGGCCTGGTAAGGCGTGTAGGTGTAGCCTCAGATTGGGTGTGGCCCTGTGCCTTCTGGTGCCACGTAATGGCGGCTTGTGGGAATGACAAAGCTATGCAAACAATAGTAATGTGTATGAACCAACTGTCTGCACAGCTTGCTGCTCCTCTCACAATTTACCTGTATGGGATGCAAGGAATTAATCAAAGTTCCCTAAACATATCAATTACAGGTATGACATGAACTGTGAGGGTTGTAAATGGGGTGTACATGTACATGTGGTTTGGGTTGTTCATACATTATGACCGACTTATTTTTATAAATGAATAAATGTGCACATTATAATTCAGATACAAAATACTTGATAAGCCGGATACTGTCGTTGTTAGGCTGTGTTGCTGGTGTTGACACATAAATGGGGTGTCTAGCTTTTACACCAGCTCTAGAGCCAATACAGGGTGGGGCTGCTCTGTTGTTGTTATGTTATGTTATGATGCCTTCCTCTCAGAGGAGCCGACGCCCTCAACGCTGGTTCCTCACTCAAAGTAATTTTACATTAACAAGGGAACCTAGCTACAATACGGTGTTAATAATTATATTCAGTCTTATTGAATACTCTTTTGTTAACTCTAGATACTAAACTAGTCTATTAACAATGTTTCATATTGTAAATAACGATGACATCCATGACGTCACGGAGTCGATGACGTCACGGAGTCTCCCATTTTCCATCCTGAAGGGAATACAAACTAAGGGAGACTGTGTTATATGTGTGTGTGTGTTTGTGTGTGTCGGTTTCCAGACACTGATCGTAGAATTCAATTAATCCTGTGAGGCAGGACTTGCCATCTCTGAACTCATGTTGATGCTGTGTTACAAAGTTCTCTCACTCCAGATGTTCCACTAGCTTTTTCGCACAGTCTTCTCCATCAGCTTGCATGGTATACAAGTTAGGGACACTGGCCTGTAGTTCAGTGCCTCCTGTCTGCCGCCCCCTTGTATATATCGGGACTATATTAGCCGCTTTCCAAATTTTTGGCAGTTCTCCTGTTGCCAGTGATTTGTTGTATATAATGGAGAGTGGCAGGCACAGTGCTTCTGTTCCTTCCTTTAGTATCCATGGGAAGATTCCATCTGGGCCTGATGATGCATTCCATCCCTTTGGAAGAATCCAAAATAGTGATAGTCTTTATAACATCCAACTCTAGAAAAAGATTCCTTATATCCCCACTAGTAATCTCAAACTCTTCTAGTGGTTCCTGTTTAACTATTCCTTCTCCTATCTCTGGAACTTCTTCTTTCTCTAACGTGAAGACCTGGAATTTCCTATTCAGTTCCTCGCACACTTCCTTATCGTTTGTAGTGAATCTGTCTGTCCCTATCCTCAATTTCATTACCTGTTCCATTACTGTCGTTTTTCTCGTGATGTGGCTGAGCAGCAATTTAGGTTGAGTCTTTGCCTTGCTTGCGATGTCATTTTCGTATTGTCTTTCTGCCTCTCTTCTCACCCTGACATATTCATTCCTGGTACTCTGGTATCTTTCTCTGCGGTCAAGTGTCCTGTTATTTCTGTAGTTTCTTCATGCCCTTTTACTTTGCTGCTTAGCTGGCCTACTTCTCTGATTAAACCATGGGTTTCTCATCTGTGTGTGTTTGTGTGTGCTGGAAACAAAAAATGGCTACACACCTTCCCCCCCCCCCCCCCCACCACACACTACTGGACGGGACGTCAGAAAGAACATTTTCAGTGTCAGAGTAACTAAAAAATGGAATGCATTAGGCAGTGATGTGGTGGAGGCTGACTCCATAAACAGTTTCAAATGTAGATATAATCGAGAACAGTAGGCTCAGAAATCTGAACATCAGTCGATTGACGGTCGAGAGGCGGGATCAAAGAGCAACAGCTCAACCCCCGCAAGCATAGCTAGGTGAGAACTAGGTGAATACATACACATGCACACACACACTATTTAAATTATTGTATTACACAATATTTTTGCGGTCCACAAAAATTTATCGCAGTGACACAACCAGAACAGAAAAAAGTTACATACTTTGCATTTAAAAAAACACAAAAACAAGCCTACTTAAGTAACACAAATATTGTTATAAGAAACGCCGCATTTCATATTTTAGTGAGCGTCCAATTATCTTTATTGCATTAACGTACACAATTACATTATAATTTTTATAAAGTGCATGAACCAAGTTGTAGGTAAACTTTATATTTTATGAATAATATTTTCAAATCTTATTCCTGGTGAGAGGAATATAATATATATATATATATATATATATATATATATATATATATATATATATATATATATATATATATATATATATGACAATGATGTATCCTTCAGGTCTGATTGTCACATTCTTATATGTTTATATATATATATATATATATATATATATATATATATATATATATATATATATATATATATATATATATATATATATTGTGTGTGTATATATATTATAATGTTTTTTTCATGAGAGAAATCTTCAAAACCTCTTTACCGATTGCTTTGAAATTTTGACACGACGTTGCATTCGAATAGGTGCGTGTTTCCGTATATTTACTATATACATGCCTTACCTGTGACCGGAGAAAACATGTTTTGTTTTTTTAAACAACGCCATATGTTGGATGTAAGAGCAACACACGCTGTAATCTCCCAAAGTTCTTAACCAATTGCTTTGAAATTCTGACACAACGTTCCATTCGAATATGCGCGTCTTTTTATATACCTACTATACAGATGCCACCTCTGTGACAGGTAAAAACATGCGTTTTTGAAAAACAGCGCCATCTGTTGCACATAATAGCAACATGCACACAATACTAAATGTCACAAATTTCATTTAAATGTTTCCCATTGCTTTGATAAATTTTATATTCATAAATTTCGATTT